CTGATGAAATGGCACTACAGCAACGCACTGCTAACAAAATATACAGTGCAGTAAATATATCATTGAACACGCTCATTTTGTTGTGAACTTTAAACTGAACGCAACACATTCTTAAATAAAGAACTTGAACGGAAGACATCACTGTAAATTAAGTTTGAAATTGGTTTTCCATTGAAAGCTGAGCGACATCTGTTTTCTCTTTTGAAACGCAACGAAAGTTCCTCCCTCCTGTATTCCCGCTGGTGCTACTTAAAGCTGCACTGACTCACTTTGTGAAATGTTCGAATGTGAGCTCTGGCCTCGCTCTTTCTGCTTGCCCTCCCCGCACTCATGGTCGGCACTAGATCATATACGGAATTGGGACGAAACCGGAAGTAACACTCGTACTTTCGAATTAGTTTTAGACTAATGAGTCCTTAAATGGTGACTGGTTAAGTTTTAGGCGTCTGAGTAAGATGGTTAAAGGAATAGTTCACCGTTTTTACATACTGACATATGTTCTTACCTTACCTTAGACTAGTTAATACGTACCTGTGTGATCTTAGTCCGTGCGCTCTGTTATGCAAACGGAGCAAAAACGGGAGGACAAATGCAGCCTCCTCTGGTCACTGTGTAGCACCAAAAGGTAGCTCCCGCTAGAAGCTACCAAACTCTTCCAAGTGTTCCCTATTAAATGTATATAGTTACGTGACGTGTTACACTGCAAAGTATAGTAACACAGAAATGTAACTGTCGATTTTCTCAGCGGATAAAACGGGTACTATATTGTGAGGCGTAGTAATCTGAGGTGCGCTACGTCCGCGCACTAACTTCTCTCCGGAGACTTCTCTCTCGCTCACTTCCGTCAATAGAAGCAGCGTGACTTGTAGTACGGAGAGAAGTTAGTGCGCGGACGTAGCGCACCTCAGATTACTACGCCTCACAATATAGTACCCGTTTTATCCGCTGAGAAAATCGACAGTTACATTTCTGTGTTACTATACTTTGCAGTGTAACACGTCACGTAACTATATACATTTAATAGGGAACACTTGGAAGAGTTTGGTAGCTTCTAGCGGGAGCTACCTTTTGGTGCTACACAGTGACCAGAGGAGGCTGCATTTGTCCTCCCGTTTTTGCTCCGTTTGCATAACAGAGCGCACGGACTAAGATCACACAGGTACGTATTAACTAGTCTAAGGTAAGGTAAGAACATATGTCAGTATGTAAAAACGGTGAACTATTCCTTTAAGGTTAAGGGTGGGTTGGGGTTATTTTATGGGAATGGCTGGTTAAGGTTAGGCATGAATAGGTAATTTGTAATATTTACTTCCGCTTCCGTCCCGATTCCGTATATGATCTAGTGCTGACCCCGCATTCATGGAGCTATCGCCCCCCACTAACCCCCTCCCCCTCAGCCGCACATGTGCTGTTTACGGAGCTCACGTCTCACAATATGGGTCGCACATTTGAATGTGGATGGCGTGACCATAGAATGATAGAACCGGGAAGCGTGGAGGAACGAGACTTTCTTTTGGATGACTGTTTCGCTGCGTAAGCAGTAATTGGTAACAAAGACACAGGAAGTTTCAGGTTAGCCTGCGCCGCTTGTTTACCTCAGCTGTCTGTGCTAACGAGAGACCTGTTGCTTTTCTCAAGAAAGTGGGGCCAGTGGTCCGCTGTGATTGGTCACAATCTGGTCCCGAAACAAATTCTCTTCCTTGTTGCACAAAAACTTGATATAAAATAAAATTACACGCCAGCACAAATCTGCACTACTTATTCTTCAAAAGGACGTATATCCCAATGCATTGCATGGATATGGATTGAATTTTCGTAATGAATACAATGATAATAGACGGAAGACGGCAATGTAATAATGTGCATATCTTAAGAATCTTCCGCACTTTTTCTGCCGAAAACTAAAAATCCCCATGGTTTGTGCTAGTACTTTTTTTGGTTGTTGGACTCACATGTGCCCGAGTCGTGATGAAAACAAAGGGTAAGTTAGCGACACAGGGCCAACCGTTTACATTTGACATAAGGTATAGACACACGTACTGCAGTGCATTACTCGTTGAGTTTGTAGTACTTATGAGCAGAGATGGGACAACTCAGTTTTGCCCCCATTGAAAACCATGTAAATCTTGTCTGTTTGCTCTCATCCTTTTTTGGAGTCAAAACGGTCTCATCCAGTGCGATATATATATATATGTATATTAGGGCCGGAACTTTAACGCGTTAATTAAGATGAATTAATTACACAAAAATTAACGCGTTTTTATCGTATCTGTTTTTGCACCGCGGAACGTTCCTCACTGGATGAGTTTCAGACGGACCAATTGTACTGGAGCACCAACTGGAGCTCCGTGACTTATTTTGTTCAAAAGTGCATTATTACAAGCACAGACCAACTTTAGCGGTGTCTCAATCCGAGTGAGTTAGAGAAGGGAAAGAGCGCTGTGTATGGAGCGATGGACTCTGTGTGCGAGGAGGAGGAGCAGCGAGCGACTCCTGTGTGGGAGCGGAGGCGGAGGAGGCGCTGCTATTGCTGATGTTTAATCCGAATACACACATCAAAAACGTTTTATAAAAGCTTTAGCATGCCCAGTTTTAGTGCTCACTGCGAGTGTGCACCAAATATTTATATTTGTTAATTTCATATCATATATTCTTTTTTTAATAAAATGTTGGTAGATTTCATTGCACTAAGTATAGAACAGGTCTACCTTTTCTGTATTGCTTTCATCACCTGGTAAGAAACCCACAATTGCAGTGTCATTAGTAAATGTCTACAATCAGCAGCTTCAAAGAACATATAGTGATTTCTAGCTCGTAGTGTGAAAAAAAGTATTTATTTGAATATCTCACAAAAAAAGTAAAATGAACTGAACTTTTAACTAGTTCAGAATAAAAATTATGAACTTTGAATGTGAACTGTTCACTTTGAGCATGTATGAACTGTACTTGAACTAGTTCAGAAAAGTTGTGAACTGGCACAACACTGGTCACTCACTCTGAAATGATAAATGAAACTTGATATATTTCTGCGCCAACTTAGAACGTGTCACAGAGCTTCATTGTAATATAATGCTACTGAACGTAATTTGAAAGTCATGAGATTGGCCAAAATCAACTTTTTAGATGTCAAAATTCAAAACAACATCCACCTCTCGGCAAACATGACGTTTTTATCACATAATGTATCATCATTTTCACAACAGATTTAAGGAACCAATACAGTATTTTACTTTTTAGGCCCAAGCCCCGAACAGGGAAAAGGCCTATTGTTTTTGCTCGAGAGATGTCAAATTCTGACATGAGTCGTGCGGTGTGGCGAGGGCCGTTCGACGCCTCTGACCATGGCAACGCACCCTATGCTTGTAATTCAGATGTGTAGATTACTCTGCAATTAGTCCGGCCACTTCGTGGCTACTACTGTCTCTGCGAGAGAAGCTATCGGGGCGAGGCACGCTCAATAGACATGAATATCAATCAATCAATCACATTTAATTGGAGAATAATAATAATAATTATAATGCATCTGTTTTATATAGCGCTTTTTTGGACACTCAAAGACGCTTTACATGTCATTATTCTTTCACGCCATACACGGTGGTGAAAAACTACTACTCTACAGCCACAGCTGCCCTGGGGCACACTGACATTATACACATACATTCGTAACACACGTGCACAGAGGTTTTCAAAATTATCTTTTAAGGTTTTCATGACAAAAATACTGTTGTAATGTGAAAAAAGCGGTAGCTGTAAACCCGGAAGTAACCATCAACATTAATCAAACATTTTAGAATGCATTTGCAGAGGATCGAATTATGGATTTTGGTTGAGTTTGTATATGGGTCACTCACCGCTGATGTTCAGAATACTTTGTTACGTTTTCATGTAGAGTTCTAGTTTTGAAGTTGGTAGCCTAACTGTTACTTGCCTGAAGCAGACCGGCTCTGCCCTGTCGGTACTTATTTTCTGATAATGACCTGCATACTATACATTATCCCTTACTTATACAACCTTGTATAATTACCCACTTAACGTGGACTATTCAACATGATATTTGTTTAAGATCGTTCATAGATCAAATATGATGTAAAAACACACAGACCTGCGTTGTTCTCATCCCTACCTACGGAAGCCCTGATAAGGAAATACAATCTGTTGGAGTGAGCCACGCGCCAATCAGATGCGTCTGATTAATGTTTAAGGGGAGAATAGTCGCTTGGCAACCGGGTAATGAAATCTAAGAGGCGCCTGTGCGATAGAACAGGGACCTTGGCACCTCTGTCTCTCAGGTTAATGCTTTGGGCGGCGGTTAGGAGCGCGTTCCCCTCGCCACGGTTGCTGCTATTCAAATGAGGTGGATGAATTATATATGCGTACCTCCATCGCCCAAATCACTTTGGGTTGGGTGGCAGACAGAAAGACAGCCATACACAGTTTTTGTTCAGGGTTTTGAGGAGCGCACAAAGACAGCCATGCACTATGATTGTTCTCCAGATACAGATTCATTTTATTAGTCATTTGCAGTAAAAGCACCTGGAATAGGTATGTTTGCAATATCTCCATAATTAAATGTATTGGGGAACACTTGTGTCAGTAAAATTCTCATGAGCAGGTGACATAACCACTGCCGAAAGGAGAAATTACGCACTGTAAAGCCAGAAACATACGTCGTCTCAACACGCCCAATAAGACAGTCAGCGACAGAGACCGCGCACACTTTACAATGCAGTCCACACGGCCAAACCCAACGAATAGACAAATGACAGTTCCAAAAGTGAAACACAAACACAAACAAGCTTTCAATGCGTATGAGAAATGCGTAAAAAAGCTGTGCCCAAAAAAACGCACTTAGAGATGCGCCTTCCGTTGCGCGCAACTGACAACTGTTACTGTGGAAACGCTCGCTCCCACTCTGTTGCAGGCAGAGTGAATGATTAGAACAGATTCCTAATCAGAAGTGACTCAGCCAGATGCCAATGCACACCCAAATGGGTCTGATGTTACTTACAGCAGTTGGTGACGGCGAAACTATTGGCCACTTCGAGGTTGTCGATGTGAGGCGTGAGGCGGAACTCCTGTGTGCCAAACTGAACCATTCCTATCCGAAACGCGCTGTACTCCTGGTCTGCACCCCGCGGAAAAAGCCCTCCTGGAACATAGGGAGAAAAGCGCGCATTAAAATGAATGGAAAGTGCTGATAAGGGGGGGGGGGGGGGTAGAGTATGTTGTTTCCCACCGATCTGAACACTGGGCGACCCTCCGAGCGCACACCCCCATAAAACCAGCAGCACAGAAATGGACAAACTGACAATTCTTTGCATTTTCCCCGCAGGTTGAATGCGCCCAATCCAGTGAAGATGTTGGCGGTGGCGAGAGTTTAGATCCTGGGCATAGTGGAGCGAGGTCACAGCGAGGAGAAGGAGCGGGGGAGGATGGACGGCTCTGCTGTGGCTGTGCGCTCTGCTTCTGCCTCTGCTGCTTCCTGCTCGGTCTGTCTCCTCCTCCGGTCCACGTACACGCGCACACGCACACACTGTGTACAAGAGCGCGCACGGGTCGGTGGACGCGCGCACGGAGCCGGTCTCGCGGCGAACTTCAGAGGACGACGGCGTGACGCTAATGACAAGTCCTTATTGACCACTAATTAGTGGTTGGGGGAATACTTTACAGGTTTATTTAGTTTTAATAACTACAACTACAATATTGAGAACCTACCTGTGTTAAAACTGGGGTACCTAACTTTTAAAACGCAAACAATTGAACTGTGTATTAACATAAATCTAAGACTTGTTTCTGGCTTCTATCAAAAGTGTTCATATGTTTGTGTGTCTGGCCTCTGTCATATCTTTCAGTCAGATTTTCAGACAGAAAATTGAAAGAGAGGACCACCCTCACTCAACCAATCAGCTCACCCAAAGAAGGGGGTCTTTTTTACACAAAAGATAAAATGTTTTCTAATAAGATGCGGCTCTTTTTTACTCTTTCTGTCGGACTAACTGTGATATTTATGAAAAATACGGTTTAGATACGTGTTCTACAACATGGAACAGAGTACTGTATTCTGAGGAATACATTCACGTACAGTATGCATCTCGCGCACATACTTTTTTTCAGTTGAAACTGGCTTTCATTCATTGGAACATTTCCATTTCTAAGGCCGTGTTCACACCGCCAACTGCATTGGCTTTGTGTGCGTCGGGTTTGCATTCAAAATGAATAGTCTTGCGCATCAAGTGCCACAGAGAGGTTGGACACGCGGCCATTTGCCGCGTGTCAAAAGATTTGCTTTTGGAAGTTTGGGGCATTCCGAATTCGGATTGCATTCCAGAGTGACGGAATGCCGCATTTCACGTACAGGATGAAACAGAGAGAAAGAACTGTTCAATATTATTATAATGCCAAAGGTTGTCTCAAACCAAGGTGTACAAGTGTATAACAAAGCTAAAAGCAGGCTGTACAATCAAGTCTTCTATAGCCAAATTAGCCATTGTGTTATAAGGGTCTTTGTTCATTGTTATTTCCATGGCTGGGACTGTGAGGACCAGGGTCCAGGACTTTCAGGAACATGGCAATGTCTGAACTTGCATCCGAGCTTTGTGCCCCAAGGACAGCTTTGTTGCAGCCTCCCCGCTGTTAGCTGCGGAGATTCCCACGGAGCTTAAGTCCAAAATGTTTATTAGTTACAGCTCAACAAATCACCAAAATGACAATAAAGGGTCATATTTCTTGCCTTAAATGTTGGTAAACGTAAAATTTGTGCCCTGTTTATTGTATTATTGATCAGAACTGTCATCTCAGACATGGTTCTGTTGATCCCAGAGTGACGAGCTCCACTGCCATCACTATAGCAGCCGCTCATTCCTCCTCATTATTGACTCATTCAAACTGTACACGATGTACGCTGCATTAAAAATAGCTTTCAATCATATTGGACTACCCCGGTGCACACCGGGGTAGTCTTGCACAGTTTTTCCAATGTGGTTTTACTGCAAATGGCAAATAAATGAATCTGAATCTAATAAAAGTGAGACTAAGCTGCAAAAAGCTCCTGTGTATTTGAAGAAAAAAACTGTCCTACGACCCCCAACCACGCCCCCTTTTGGTCATGTGATTGCAACCCAGGAATAGAGAAGCTCCTCCCAACATACCTCACAGACAAGTGACACCAAAACTACACGCGTCAATTTGGTGTGAACATGCCATAAGTCTTTATATTGTCTCCTGCCCACACATCTGCCATCATATTCTACACAGGGAGAAGTGGAACTTACCTTTGATCCCAGGATCCAGACAGCAATGGGGAGTTTCATTTCTATGCCCCGGAATCAGCTCCGGAGTGTGAGGTTGTCCATAACTGTTGTGTCCTTAGGCAAGACACTAGCGCGTGTGTGTGTGTGCGTGCTTGCGTGCGTGCATGCGTGCGTCTGTGTGGTTGTAGTTGTCGAAGGGGCACATGTCTCAGATTTACAGCCTCGCTACAGTGAATGTCTATTTTTTTTTTGCGTTTAGTGTTTTGTTGAATCTTATGGGACTAAAGTGAATAAAACAGCAGGACAATTGGGATTCAGCACCACGGACAGCTCATCTGGAAATTACATAATACAAGTATGTAAAAACTCAGCTACTTACCGTTGTGGTTTTGTATTTAACATTTTTGAGGAAAAATTGTGTGGCTTTCATTCATTGACACATGTTTATGTATAGTCTTTATTATGTCTCTTACCCACATATCTGCAGTCACATACAGTTTTTTACACAGGCAGAAGTGGAACACAGGCTTAAGACTCCACGACCCCAGGATCTGGACTGGGACGGGGAGTTTCATTTCTGAGCCAGCTCCAGAATGAGGCTTTTATTTGAGAGCTGGTTTTTAACACTTTTAATGTTTTATGTTGACCACGTTGGAGAAAACAAAGTGTGAAAACAAGTTCTGACCGAAGATTCTCTTCTTTGCCCATAGCACTTAACTGTCATATAATGTAATGTTGATGAATCCTGATTTGTTTGATGGTGATCTCATTATGGACCGTTCATCTGTAAGAACTGGATACTCTATTAATAAATCGGCCTCTTATGTTCAATATTTTCTATCAACTTATGGAGTATCGGATATTTGGCGTTTTTTGCACCCACAGGATAGACAATATTCCTTTTTTTAAATGCTCACCAAACATATACCAGGACTTTTTTAGTGATAATAAATTAACCTCACAGATAAAATCATGCGAGTATCAACCTATTGTAATATTCGACCATGCTCCTTTAATACTGACAATGGATATACCTGGTGTAGTCTCCCCAGCGACAATGGAGATTTAATTCTCTTTTGTTTTCGTCGGTCTGGGAGGCCCTTAAAACAAAAAGAATTAGAAAAGCAAATTGCTGATTTAGATCAAAAGAACTCTCAAAACCCTTCCCAAAAACCCTTTATAAAGAACGTTTGAAACTTTGAGCAGAATACGACATGTTCACTTCACATTCTATACAATATCTGCTGTTGAAAAATTGAAGTGAAAATTACGAACATGGAGATAAAGCTGAGGAGGTTCTAGCCCGACAACTGAAGAGTGCAAGGGCCAAGCAAACTATTAACGGGATTACTTCTAGCAGTGGGAGGATTGTCACAGACCAGCAGGGCATTAATGATGCCTTTCAGCAATACTACCACAACTTGTACAGTTCTGAAAATGCTAATGATTCTAATCTTCTTTCTAATTTCTTTAGTGAACTTGAGAGACCATCACTGTCCCCGGACGAGGCCTCCGCCCCTGATGCACCTTTACAACAGCAGGAGATCATGGCAGCAAAATTGGCCCTGTAGCCAATAATTCCCTTTGGCTGACGTGTCCACAATTTGGTACAGAAATCAGACTAAAGATTCTCCAAGGTTAACATCTGCATTTAATCATCATTACAATCAGATACAGAATGTTCAACAAAACTGCTCCTATTCTATGCCTGCTCTTTCCCTGTGCGTTGCCCCTGTCCTGTCTGACCTCAAACCCCCCCCCCCCCCCGAGGGCACATATACGGGAGACTTCCGATGACGTCATCCATATGCGTCCAAGGGTGGAGTTTTCCGGGTGTGCTGACGTCCCTTATCCACTGGGAGGCGTCAGAATGCCGTTGGTGAATCTCCCAGTCTGCCTCAAGATCAGGTTCTGAACTTTTGCCCTCGTCAAAATGTTTATTATTTAAAGTTAATAATTCGCCCTGTTTAAACAGCATTTTATCTTTATGACTCATGTCTGATCATCCTGTGTCCTTGGGGTTTTTCCTGAGTGCACAGAGATCTTTTTGGCTATGATGTTCAAATGGTCAAATATTAAAATATACAACAGTTCCCCTCTGTTGACCTATATTAAACCAATTTAGGTCACAATCTTTCAATATCCCTTCTGGGTGCCGAGACTGGGGAGCTCGTCCATCATCGCCTTGGTTCTTGGTTCTGGCTCGTTATCTGTGAAGAATTAATACAGAAAGACAAACAACACACAACCACATTCGAAACATTCCTTCACTAAACTCTTTGATGACCACTGCTGTCATTCTGATTCTTCTTCAACCTCGTCTGTAATGTATGCACTAAAACTATTCACTATAGTTTAAACTATTCTAATCTATTTACAAATATGTTTGCATATTTTGCTTTTATTGAGCCCTATTCTTAAACATATGTTTTTATCTAATAAATCTATCTATACTGTGGTTTGCTTTCATTATCAGTGGCTTTGGGCCATTTCGTGGGACTTTGCTCATTTTTCCAAATACATTTTGTTGAACCAGGAAGTGCTGTCACTTCCTCCTCTCAAGACAGTTTGGGATGAATGTACATCGTTAATCAAATTGGTATTATCCTTAGAAGAGCTAATCTATTTTAGCAGGTTTCTCTGGGGTTAGTCCCTATACAACGGTATTTTGATTCTCTAATCTGTTGCTGACAAATCGACAGCTCTTAAAATTCTCAAAAATACCTAAATACCTACTTTTGTGCTATACCCAAATACATTAAAATGCTTTCAAATGTTTTTGAATCTTTGTTGGTTCTAATCGATCTCATTAATCTATCTCATTAGCTTTTTGCATTGTCAACATTCACCTATGTTTGAAACAAGCGAATTTGACAGTATCTAATAAAACTGTGCATAAACTGTACTGAACTTTATCTACCTTTGAAGTAAATACTTTTGGACATAATATGAAGGAAATGGTCCTTTTACCGCTTGATATTAACACTGGCTAAAAATAATCTCCATTTTGAAAGCCTCTATGGTTGATGCATTTATCTATTTCTAGTTTTACGCTATTTTTTCCCAAAGCTCGGCTGTAGCTTGAGCCAAAGCATATTCCCAATTCGTGAGTTCTGTCACTTTCAATGGCTGTAAATAATTCTGATTCTAACTCTATCTAGCTTCTCTATCAGAAGGATCACAATGTATGGTACCATTTTAACTCTTACTCCGAAGTTTGTTTATGACCAATGATCAAATACTATATACTATTTAACATTTACTAAAACGCTGAAATACTCCTACTTTATCATTTTAAACCGTTTTAACAGTTGCTCAGTCTCCCCAGACTAAAAGTCAACCTTTCTGTCTGCCAGACTGAACCCTTAACATTTATTGCATTTGGTCATAGTTGTGGTTCTAATTGTAACAATTGCATTGGCAATGGACGATTTTTCATTGGCTGGTTCTTGTTCTGCCAATCACTATTCTATGTATTGTATTTCAGACAATTCCAAAAACAACACAGTCGTTCTCCAATATTAAAGACATACATCTAAATCAAGCTGCCTGAAAGGGATTTTAACTATTTGAAAACGTTCTCTACGATTATAAGGCTATGAAATTAATTATTTAATAAACAAAAGCACATTCCTGGCTTCTGTCCACTGCTTATAACTGTTTAAAGAGTTGTCCCAAACTTAATATGTGTAAATACATCAGCTGTTTGTAATAAACAATAACATTTAACCTGTTCTCCAATGGAGCAGCTCAGAGGCTGCGTCAAGAGCAATGTTATATTTGAGCTATTTTTAGATTTAAAATTGTGTTAAAGCCTGTCGTTCTATGTCTGCATTTTAATACTACTCTCTATAAACACATCTGCACTAGTTCCTACAGATGTGGAAAACAGAAACCTCTAAAATCTGACTCCATTTGATTCCTTTTTACTTTAGTTATTAGAACAATTTGACCTTATTGATACTTATTTCCACAATAGAGCTATTTTAATTATTCCCTCCGGTGGACTCACCACCTGCAGGAGGATCAGTGAGGGGCTGGTGCTCTGTGTACTGGGTGCAGCTCTGACTGCCACCCCCCCCCGACCCAGAAATGGATTAAGGGGAAGAAAATGGTTGGATGGATGGATGATTATTCACTACTCTAACTATTATTACTATTGTTTATTCTGACACCTCTTCTTAGCGACTTTTCAACCTATAGCTCCTTGAATCCAATGATATTATAGCTCCAGACTATTTCATTCTATTCTATTATTATTATTGTATGATCTATTATCTTAAAGAGTAGATCTGTTTGATGTTATAAGCGCTATTATTTCTCCTTTTGAACTTGCACAACACTAAATTTAGAATGACCCCCTATGGGACAAATATAGAATTTTATTCCATTTTGGCAACTCCGAAAATTACTTAATAATTTTCCCATTTTGCTTTTTAGGCTGCCCTTTCCATTATTTATTTGTTCTTGTAAATATATGTTTTACACTTCTTCCTAATGATTTAGAAGGTTAAGGACCATGACCACCTATGACAATACAATACTCCCCTCTGTTGGTCGTGGGCCAAAGTATAAAACATGCATCTGTGTGTGTGTGTAGATTACTGTTCCCATCATTCTCCAGTTGTTCCTCCCGGATCGTCCTCAATTCATATTGTGGGCTTTGGTGCCATAGTAGAGGCTCATTTCCTTATGATCCATACTACTGTCATCCCTGAAGCAGGTGCAGTTTATCTTTCATCTGAAAAAGAAACATTAGAACACACGAAATGCCCACTTCCCTGGCATGGTGCAGCCTGTCAATCTTTTTCCAATTGGGTAAAACATAACTGCATTGACAGACGGTGTGTGACATCAGGGCAAAGGCTGTAGCCAAATACAGACTTAACAATATGTATGTTTCTTATTTTATACTCCCCTAAATGTGAGTTACAAACCAAAGTTGTCCTTCGTCCAATGACCGCTCACTGCGGTTGGACCGAATCACTGTCAGGACAAACAGCAGAGGGGGGGGACTCCCAGTACCTTCAGCAAGGTATTCATCTCAGAGTACTTTCTCAGAGTACTTTTCTCAGAGTACTCATCCCAGAGTACCCTCACTTTTACACCTGTTCAATAAAGCTTGTTATCTTTGAATCTCTAGTACTTACACCGTATGCTGTTGACAAAAAATAATTATTCCATGATCACATTAAAACATTACAGAAAACATTTGTTATTCCATGATTCCGTTCAGCACTCCTCGTTCACTCCTCACTCACAACACACTCACAACACACTCACATCACACTCACAACACAGGCCGACTCCCCACGTTAGTATTTTGGTCCAGAGTTTGTTAAGGTCAGCGTAGTGTACTTGACATGACGCACAAACATATAACATACACAAACATATAACACACACAAACATATAACACAGAAGGCCTGTAATTTTAACTTTGTCATATTTTTCCATGTCCAATTACAATTGTCTCATGAGCTATTTCTATTGTTGCAACTTTCAGAGCCTGCAGAACATGCAGAGCTTTGAGAGATTTTTCTTAAAAGGATCCATTTCAAACTTTAGTGTTTAC